GAATAAATAACCTGTTTAGGAAGTGACTAAGCTCAGGTCTAGAGAAGAGCAGTAGGAAATAAAGCTGTGGAAAGTTTGTGTAGGCTCTGGAATCTCTATTAAAATAGTGTGGGTGGGGACTTCCTTGGTGGCACAGTGGTTAAGAATCCTCCTGTCAATGCAGGGGACACGGGTTCGATCCCTGGTCCGGGAAGATCCCACATGCCACGGAGCAACTAAGCCCGTGTGCCACAACTACTGAGCCTGCGCTCTAGAGCCCACGAGCCACAGCTACTGAGCCTGCGTGCTACAACTACCGAAGCCCGCTCACCTAGAGCCCATGCTCTACAACAAGAGAAGCCACCGCAATGAGAAGCCTGCACACCGCAACCAAGAGTAGCCCCCGCTTGCTGCAACTAGAGAAAGCCCACGTGCAGCAACAAAGACCCAACGCAGCCAAAAATAAATAAATTTATTTTTAAAAATAAAATAAAATATGGGCTTCCCTAGTGACGCAGTGGTTAAGAATCCGCCTGCCAATGCAGGGGACATGGGTTCGAGCCCTGGTCAAGGACGATCCCACATGCCGAGGAGTAACTAAGCCCATGCACCACAACTACTGAGCCTGCACTCTAGAGCCCGCAAGCCACAACTACTGAGCCCACGTGCCACAACTACTGAAGCCTACATGCCTAGAGCCCGTGCTCTGCAACAAGAGAAGCCACTGCAATGAGGAGCCCATGCACCGCAATGAAGAGTAGCCCCCGCTCACTGCAACTAGAGAAAGCCCACGTGCAGCAAAGGAAGACCCAACGCTGACAAAAATAAATTAATTAAATAAATTAAAATACTTATATAAAAAATAATAATAGGGCTTCCCTGGTGGCACAGGGGTTGGGAGTCCTCCTGCCGATGCAGGGGACACGGGTTCGTGCCCCGGTCTGGGAAGATCCCACATGCCGTGGAGCAGCTGGGCCCGTGAACCATGGCTGCTGAGCCTGTGCGTCCAGAGCCTGTGCTCTGCAATGGGAGAGGCCGGAACAGTGAGAGGCCTGCGTACTGCAAAAAAAAAATAAATAAATAAATAAAATAATAATAATAAAATAAAATCGTTTGGGTGATTCAGTAGGCAGTGGGAAGCTACTAGAATTGTATTTATTTTATTTATGGCTGCATTGGGTCTTCATTGCTGCACGGGCTTTCCCTAGTTGCAGCGAGCGGGGGCTACTGTTGGCTGCAGTACGTGGGCCTCTCATTGTGGTGGCTTCTCTTGTTGCAAAGCACGGGCTCTAGGCGTGAGGGCTCCAGTAGTTGTGGCACGTGGGCTTCGGTAGTTATGACTCGCAGGCTCAGTCGTTGTGGTGCACGGACTTAGTTGCTCTGCAGCATGTGGGATCTTCCTGGACCAGGGCTCGAACCCGTGTCCCCTGCATTGGCAGGCAGATTCTTGACCACTGCGCCACCAGGGAAGTCCGCTACTAGAATTTTTTGAGAAGGTTTCACATGGTTTATGAAACTAATTCTGTGTGTTCAGGATGAATAGGAAGGAGAGAGACTGATGGGGCTTAAAAGGTGGTCCCGTGAGAGTACATATGGGAAATAAGCCAGCTGGATTAGGATGATGTGCCGGGGGAGTGAGGGGCTCACCTCTCTGCTGTCACTTACAGTCCTGTTAGGCAAACCAGCCTGTTAAGTCCATGCTCCCAGCAGCTATCAGGCCTCTTCTCTAATGTGGCCCCTGATTTCAGAGGCAGTCATTGTAAAGTAATGTAACATTTACGGTTTAAAATTTAACGTAAAATTTACAGTTTAAACCATTTTTAAGTGTACAGTTAGTTGTCTGGCATCAAGCACACTCACACTGTTGTGTTAACCATCAACACCATCCATCTCCAGAACTTTCTCATCTTGCAAAACTGCCACTCTGTACCCCTTAAATACTAGCTCCCCATTTTCCTGTCCCCACAGGCCCTGGCAACCCCAGCTCCACTTTCTCTCTGTGAATATGACTGTTCTAGGGTTCTCCTGTAAGTGGAATCATATAATATTTGTCCTTTTGTGTCTGGTTTATTCCACTTAGCAGAATGTCTTCAAGGTTCTTCCAGTCACTGTTCTGAAGATCTGTGCTATTCCTTGCCAGCTCTGACGCTGCAGAATCTCATCTGGGAGGAAGCACGCTGCACCTGCCAGGGTGACTTCCCAATCGGCTCCCTTCTTGGGGGGCAGATAAAAGAGTGGTACTTGCCTGTTAACTTTCGTGTGTGTGTGTGTGCGCGCGCGCGCACGCTTGTGTGTTTGTGTGTTAGAGAAAGAAAGAGAGAGATTCTCCCAGGGAACGTGGGCAAGTAAATTGCCATGGCCAGAGTATGTGAAAACATTACAGTTAGTTTCCCAATGGTTGACCTCTCGAATGACTCAAAAAGGTATTGGGACTACCTAAATGCCTAAGCTTAGGGCACATATCAAACCTTCCTAGAACTGCTAGAATAGAAAAAGGAGCTTGGGGGAGTTCCCTGGTGGCCTAGTGATTAGGATTCCAGGCTTTCACTGCCGTGGCCCAGGTTCAGTCCCTGGTCAGGGAACTGAGATCCCACAAGCTGCAAGGCACAGCCAAAAACAGAAAAAAGAAAAAGGAGCTCGGAATTCAGTCCTAACTGTACCCCCACCTTTGCAAGAGGCTGGGATGGACATGATTAGATTGGTTACAGAGCCGCTATGCTGCCCTTTTTTGTTTTTGTTTTTGTTCTGAATGAGCGGCTCTCAGAAAACACAGAAAGCCAGTGTCTGCTTTACCATCTTCTTCCCCACACCTAGCAGAGTGTCAGGCATATGGTGAAATTGGTGGGAGGTGAGGTAGGCAGACAGTAGAACACAGGAAGAAGGGCTTTCTAAATGTCTCATTTCCAGTGCCAAATGTGGACGGGGTGGGTGACTGGGTGGGCACTACACAGGGCTGGAGGCACTGGGTTTTGGCCACATCTCAGATCAGACAAAGGATCGACAAATAAGACTTTCATTTCTGTATCAATACAGAAGCTGTCTCTAAGATCTCAAATCTGTTTTGCGCCTGGTAAAAGCAAAACCCCCATTTCACTAGGAGGCCAGATGGATATAAAAGAAAAATCCTTCCTTTTTGCAGCTTCTGTCCACAGCCTTGAGCCCCGTTCTTTGCTGGAGCCGATGGTCTTGGAAATTTTGGAGAGCTATGATTGTGTTAGCCATTTTGTACCCAGAGCTGAGTATTTGGTTAAACATTTTGCTGCTACCCACTGGAGAAGACGCCATCAGCTGTTCCCATTAATGCACACACCCCAGGCAGGAGTTACCCGGTCCTGTTTTCTCTGCATGGAGGATTGCAGGAAATGCCTCTCAGCTCCTATGTCTTTCCTCCAGATTCTGTAAAGCTGCTTCTGGGGTGTGGCCACTCCTTTTCTTTTCTCTGCACTCTGGTAGACTAAGGGAATGCGGCGGGGGGGGGGGGGGGGGGTGTGATGAATTGGGCGATTGGGATTGGGGGGGGGGGGGGGGGTGTTACCTCATTATCAGGGCTCCAGCCGGAGCAGCTCAGAAACCCGATTACAGATCCCAGGCACAGGGAAGAAGCCAAACTACTGAGGACCAAGAAGCTCAGGGCTGGGCCCAGGCCCACGTTCTGGTGCAGTGCCTAGTGCCTTTATATTTATTTAAAGGGGACAGTGCTTGGTAACCAGGAGGCTGAGGCCTTCCTGAGCTGCAGAGCTCCTGGTCTGCCTGACTGCACAGGAATGATCTGGATGCTACTCTATGGCTGTCGCCCAGCTGTCATGGGGGTGGGGAAAGGGTGTCCGACTTGAGGGCTTCTAGCTACAGAGCCAGGCCCTTAAACTGCTAAGACTATAAGCAATAGAAATTCCAGAAATCCTCTGTTTTTCTTTTCTCAGCATTCCAGCATGCACCATCACAATGCCTCCCTTTCCTATGGCAAGGCAATATAGCACACTGTTTAAAAGAAGGTTCTGACTGCTCAGATTCAAATCCTTGCTTTTCCTCTTGCTAGCTGCCTGACCCAGGGCAAGAGACCTAGCTTCCATGTCAGGGCTCCTTTGTAAAATGAGGAAATAATACCTAAATCATAAAATTATTGCAAAAGGATTTTTTTTAAAGGTAACACACATAGCATAGTGCTTGGTACATAAGAAAAGGTCAATTAATAACGGCGAGAAGAATCAATGTCTCATTTATAAAATACAATTAATGCATCCTATTCCACTGCTGAGCTGTCCGAAAGCTTTTGATGTAAGAATATAAGAAATTATTAACTCTTCAAATCTCGGAATGACAGACATAAACACCAAATTAGTCGGCTTTATTTTTTATGATCGGATTCGGCCTTTTCTTACCACCTTCTCAAACCCGGAGCCCCAAATCATCCTCGGTTTCTTGACCCCAACTCCCACCAGAGAAGGCTGACTTGGGGCCCCGGCACCAGCCTTCTCCTAGGGAAAGGGGGAAGGAGGAAGAGAAACACACGGGTGATCTCACCCTTTGGGACTGGGCGTTTTTCCGGCTGGGACGCGCAGCATCCCCAGGCAGACTGCGGCGATGGCCCTGCCCCGCCCTTCGCTGCAGTCCTGGAAGGGCTCCCAGGGGCGGAGGGGTGGGCTGCCGAAGATTCTCTGCAGGGCGGGGAGGGGCAGGATTGGAGGATGCCAGCTGCGGGGAGGGCGGTGCGGCTGGAGCATCTCTGCCCGCCTGGGCGGACGCAGCGACTCCTCTGCACCATCAACCCCCACCCCTGGCGCGCGCACTATTCCTCCCCCACCCTGCAGCAGCCCTCCCGGGGCCGACTCTTCCGCCGCATCGCCGCTTCGGCTCCTTCCGGGAGCTCTCGGCCCTTTCCGCCGGGTGATCGGGCAGCGAGCAGGCGGGAGCTCCGCCCCCTTTGGTTGGCCGGCGCTCGCCCCCGCCCCTCGCGCCGCGCTGCGGCGCTTCCCCCGAGCTCGCGACCGCCCGCCGCCGGAACGCGCGTGGCCGCCTATAAAAGAGGCGGGGCGCGCGCGTCGCCGCACTACCCGCTGCGGAGCGAACGGGGAGGAACGGAGGCTGCTGAGCCTCGTCGGTTCCTCCAGCACCCCCCGGCCCGACGCACCCACTGCCCCCACCCCCAGGAGCCGGTGAGAGGGGGAGCGGGCGAACTCAGGGCGGGAGCGAGGCCCGAGGGCGGCCGACCCCTGGGCTGGGAGCCGGACGGCCCCTGGGGCAGGGCGGGGCCAGCGCGCGGACAGGTGAGCCCGGCCGGCCTCGCCGCTCCCTCCGTCAGGCGGGGAACCGGGCGAGCCGGCCGCG